ACACTTGCAGTTAGAGAAGCTCTGGTATGCTCTAGGTGCAGATGCACTTGTTGTACCCGCATCACCTTGTCCTCAGCTCACCAGTGGTAAGTATTTAAAAGGTTTGTTCATGCCCACCAGCTTCTCAGTATCTACCAATATATCTAACACCTTCCTCTGCTTATAAAGAAATCAGAAAAGCAACCTATGCTACTATCCTGCAGGCACTGGGAAATGTGAAAAGGTAGGAAAACCTGTAAGCTTTAGGTGTTTGTCCAAACCTCTTCAGCCAACTCAACTTTCTTAACATAGGCTCACTTGGATTCATTCTTTCCTCAGTAAAGAAAGACAAAATCTTTTCCCCTCCAGAATAAAAAGAAATGTCCAAAAACACCCACAAAAGTATTCTTGATCAATGAAACTAACCAACTTCATTCTGAACTCACACTCAGGATGAAATGGCACTCCAGAAGCATAAGGGATACAAGATATATTTTAGCAAATGCTATTCCACTGTGTATACTCAGTGCTTTCTGGTACAAAAAATGTTCTTAAATTTTGGAGAAAGAACGCCTGAAGGAATGAACACAGAAATAGAAAGACCAAGGCTGTAGCAGCAAAGCTCTCAAGAACATCAGTACTGGAAGGATTCCAAGGGTTTACCTATTACTAGCATTGCTCTCCCATGACTATCTGGAGACACTGAGGGCCTGCTGGAAAAAACTTTCCTAAGGGCTCAATTCTTTTGGATTACTTTATTAAGTGAAACAAGAAAGAAAGTCTCCTTACTGGAAAGAGAAAACAAATTCTCATTTCAGTTTTACTTTCCAATATCTACCTTCCAAATTCATGTAACCTTCAGCTAACTCTGCAAAGTGACAGATCTTGCACCACAAATTAGAACCTGAAACTTTAGTTTTTCAGCTCTGTCAAGCATGAAATAGGAGGGATGAACAGTAAAGCTAGTCAATAATGAAAAAACAGGCCCCATCACTTGACCAATAAACTTTCCCAAAAAAGACCACTTTGTACTCTTGTTTTTGTTTTGTTCCTTAAGAGATTTTTCCCCTCTGGGGCAAAAGAATGTGGGTAATAGGGAGAAAAGATTGTGAGTTAAGAAAGAGGCACATGATAAACTCATGAAAGATTAGACAGAGACCCAGTTCTGTCTTTGAAAATTAGAGTAATTCTGGCCATAAAAGGCCCAACCCTGATAGTACTGGTAGTGTCCCCCATCCAGGGACACTGAATCTATAAATTTCAGTAGGTGGATGGGTGGGTGGGTGACCTAGGAATATACAAAGGGACCTAAGACCGGCTGTTGCCAAGCAACACTATTAGAAGAGAGTTCAAAATAATTGTAGCTGTAATCTCATCCTATCCAGAGAGAATTAGATTTGGAAACTGAAGGATAGACCAGATGACCTCTAAATATCCTTTTTTAAGCTCCACCAGTCAGTAAGGCAGTTTCCTGAAAAGAGGCAAGAGAAAGAAATACCAACCCTAAAACAGGCAACTATTATAGGTATTTCTAAAATAATGTTAAGTTAGCAGATTCACCACTGACCCTCACAGCAACCTTTTTTTCCCCAAGCTAAATGTGTGATTATAGATTAATTGGTGCCTTTGAGGGTCCCACAAAGGCCCTCCATACCTGCCCCTCTATACCCAGCCAGCTTCAAAGACAAACCTAAAGGAAATTCCAAAGATGGTTCCTGTTGTATATCATTTGCATTTCCACAAAGTTTAATGGACTGGAGAATCAAAAGTGGAGAGTCCAAAGCTTCTCTTATACAACCTCCATTCTTGATCCCTTGCCCCATCTTGAAGTCTACAGGCAGGCCTGGTTCAAGGGTTAAAAGACATATTCAGCCTCATATTTGCCAAGTACCACTTTAGTGCCACTCAAGTAGTTCAAGCAATGCTAGGAATGGCAGAAAAATAAACAGTCCACACAGCCCCTGTTAAACTTTAGCTGAATGCAGAACCAGAAGTCCTCAAATACTTCAAAGAACTAGGCTGTATGTCTGCTAACATGAATGGTACCATGAAATGACTACTTGATCATTTTCCTCTAATTTGTTGATGTACAGCTAAAAATCCAACAAATCAAAGACGTTTTACCAAGGTTTACCCTATAACTGAGACTTTAGCTTTGCCACTGAAAAGTTGCATCACTCTTGATCAGTCCTTCCATAAAATGGGTTTCAATTTCCTCATCTCTACAAACAGAAGGGTTGGGCTTGCTAGTGGTGCATAGTTGTGGACTTCACATTTAATAAACCATAGGAAGAAAGCAAAAAAACCTCAAGAACATCTTGACAATTCAAAATACTCTCTGTTTAGGAAACTTGAGCCTCAGAGCTGTTAAGATCTTTAAAACAAAAAAGAGAAACTAGAGAGAAAGACTATTTTCTACTTATCTTATTATCAGAAGGGACAGATGGCAGTTAATAAGCTTATCCATTTTGGGTATGATACCAGATTCCGGAAACTGACAACCAGAAGCAAAGAAAGCCTAAGAACGGCAAGAAGCAGGTAGGAAAGTGAGGCATGTTTTAATGGATTTAGAGGAGGCTGGCCTGACTAGAAGAAACAATTGACTATGAAAATTAAACTGACCCTGAATCATAGACATGGTTCATATAACAGGTTTGATTTTTTCCACTTCTCTGTCATATGCTAGAAATAGCCTAAAGCACACCACGAAGGAGCGGAGAACAGGGAATTTTCCCCTCTTCATTGAGGTTATCAGCTGTAATTCACTGAACAAGGGCACCCCATGATGTCTCAGCTTTGGGATGAGGAATGAAAAAGGTAAATAAAGGCACCTTGTGACAGTCTCAAATCTTATCAGGAGACCACACAAATGGCATCATTGGTTACTTGACCCATGTTAACTATTTCCTTCTATTTTGAGGATTATGCATGCCTGAGAAGAGTGGCGCTTAGTAAGGGAAGGGAATTCAAACTTTAACTTAATCACTGGGTCACATTATAATGTTAATAGGATATACTTCAGAAAGCCTGAACCTCAATTTGACTAAATGACCAGGTCCCCTTAGCTAGCCACTTTCCTTCACACCTACATATCCTTGTTCATCTATTTTTAAAGGATTGTACTAGTTTCCAGAGTCCTTTTCAGATGAAGACTCTAAGGTCTCAATAGTAACATAAACTGTTTTTCCCAAGTCAACAATGCTTGAGTTAAACAGCATAAAAAACACTCTTAACACTTCCAGTCAATGAAAATTCAACCCTCATCTTCCAACTTGATTTATATTTCAATCTTCACAAAAATATCTTTAGTACTCAGGTACTTTTAATATGCCAGACCTAACCTGAAATAGCTTATATTCTAATCCTCCATATCCAGGAAAAGGATCACCATACTGTCTTCTTTGCCATTTGTTATCTAAATTAGGATGGTTAATGCAACTTAGAGGCAACTTCCAGATGTCTCAGAATTTACGATGAGATATGCCAATAGGGAAGAGAGGCCACTCAAAATGTGTATATTGTCAGCCCCACTCAAAATGCTTGGGCAAAGCCACACCTTATGCTGAGACAGGAATCAACCAAAGAGAGAAATACAGAAGCTCCTGGAAGGACCTTTATAATGCTGTGTTGGCAAACAGTGCTCACCCACCCCTCTTTTGCAAAACCTCTCTCTCACTTTGTAGGGGGAGGAGTTTGGGAAGAAAGTATGGAAAAGGCCAAACTTCTAAAACCACAGGCAATTTAAAAGACAGAGATAGTGAAAGCACATACTTCTTTAAAAACTGGTGTTTCTAAAGGACAGCGTTCTGGAAAAACAAGAACGATTTGGTAGTGAGGCTGCAATACAGCAATGTGGAAGGTAAACCTCATCACGTATCCGAAGAACTGAGCCCTCACTCTCCTCCCCTCATCCCAAGGGCCCCCAGCCCTTCTCAAGGCTACTAATCACTATCTCAGCCCTGCAACGCTCTGTGAGTCCTAGGGAGATGGGTCTGGGGCACAACATAGGCCAGCTCAAAGAGCTGCCTGGCCAAAAAGACTCAAGCCAAAGTGATCACCCGCCATTCCTAAACAAGGGAAGGGCCCCAGCAGCCATTTGGCATGACTTGCACAAAAGCAAGCAGAGCTCATTAGTCAGGCACACCCCTCCCCCTCCCTCCCTCCTGGGCATCCGGCCCCCCTAGGCCCCACTCCCAGGAGGCTTCAACTTTTCTCATAACAGCCAGTGGGGGTGGAGACCAACCAGATCCCAAAATCAACCACCACTTTAGCAAGGTGTGGCCCCACAGGAGAGAACCCACACCCCACAGAACAGTCCAGAGGATAGAGCAGAATTAAGTAATGGGAAGGGCAGGGTTTTGGCGGGTGGAGAGAAGGGATAAACCAGTCCTCGGTCCCAGTAGATTGGGTAGGCCTCTCAGACTGGTGCTTAAAACTGTTGGCACTACTAAGTAAACGGGGGTAGCCTGGATGATGTGTCACTCCATTGCTCGCTCACATCCGAATGGGAAACACAGAGCTGAAACTGCCTAGGGCGGGTGTCTGAAAGGTAAGTGGGGGTGCGGGATCCGCCCCAGCAGCTCCCTCACTCCCAGTTTCTCTGTTCCCAAGGCCCCTAGGACAGCTGCAGCCTTGCTCCAGAAATGCGCCAATTCTTTGGCCCGGGAATATTTTGGAGTTGGAGGAATTGAAGTCCTCTGCCCTGCGCCCACGCCCTTCGGGGGACTAAAAATCCCTGGGCCCCAAGCGAAGCCTCTCCCACTGTCGCATTACCGACGCCGGGAACTGGAACCTGAGAAAGAGGCCACCTCCTCTCTGTCCAGGCTTCCAGCCTGGACATCCCCTCACTCCCCAGGGCTTGCCAGTCCAGGTCCCGACTCGCGTCCCCTCCCAGCGGTGGGCCAGTGTACAGGGCGCGGCGTCCTAAGCCGGCTGGGAGTGGGCCAACGCGGCAGCCATCAGTTTAGGGCTACAGGAGTCAGATAGAACCCAGGGTCGCCAGCGCCCATCTCCATACTCACCGTCTTGGGCATGGTGGCGGCAAAGGAAACGAGTTGGCGAAGTTTGGATGGAAACTGTCGGGCAGACCTGAGAACACAGTACGCAAGGCTGGAACTCCGGGGACCAAGGGGGGGCTCGGATTGGGTTCCTCTCCAGCGTCTGGGCTACTGCTCCGCTTCCTGCTAACGGGCCACGACTTCACAAACCCCACCCAGGAAAAAGCCGCCCCCGTTGCGCCGCCCGCTCCTTTATGTGGCCGGGCTTCCGCGCTGCTCCCCGCCCTCACTCCCGCCTCCCAGCCAGCCGCCGGCCTCGCCCCGCCCAACTAGGCACGACCCAGCTCAACCACACCAGCTGCTAGTGGAGCGGATCTGGGCCCGGACAGCCCCATTCGGGGCTTGCACTCTTGCCCCAAGTTTATGGTGCGCACCTCTCCCACCTTCCTCACAGTCCCTAACCTTCCACGTCTGAGCTGTCTGGCCCCATCCTCTCATTCAGGGCCAGAGTTGGGCCCTGGACTGCACCCTGGCAGATGCTATGCGGTCACTCAAGGCAACTTTTCCAATGAAGGAAACTTAATACCTGTCAAAACTTCTTTCGCTTGCAAGGCAGCCTTGTTTTCCAGAAAGTTCCTCCTGAATGTATCTGAATTTTTTTTCAGTGATTTCCAGCTGTGAATCTCAGCTCTGCTCCTTGGGGCCACAACAATTTTTCTACTTTTCCTATCAGCTTCCCAGAAGTCTGAAGATTCTGTGTCCCCAGGAAACTTCTCTTATCTTGGCTGAACTACCTCATCTCTTCCAACACTTCACCCATTCTCTTTTGTGGGATAGTGTTTTCTCATTACATTTTGCCCCGTCTTTGTTCAATTCTGGTTTTCATTTTCATCGGAATTGAAATCTTGATATTTGTCTTCTCTCTTTTCTTCCACCAAACCCATCCCATTCTCCTCACATCAATATCCTAGTCCTTTAGCCCATCCTCAATATATTCAATTTTCAATGAGGCTGTGATTCCCTCAAACGAGATGCTACCTCACTGTCCAGGCCCTTGGGGTGTGTCTGAGAGCTCCCTTTCCACTTCTTGTTGAGGTCTGAGAATCTCAGGACAGTGCTATTCTGGAGGGGAGAAGTCAGAAGTTAAGTCTGAATTTCAGTTTGAAATTTACTGGCCGTAATTCCTTTTTGTCCCCTCCACTGGCAGTTGTGCAGAGGCATGGTTTGAGCACCTTTTGTGCCCCAGTGTGGGGTAGTAAAAGGATAGTTGAATCAGTCACTCATGGCACCTGGCTTCTACTACTAGATCTGCCATTAACTCACTCTGTAACCTCTGTGTGGTCTTGGGTAAGTCCCTTTTCCTCACTGGCTTTAGAGTTTCTTTTTCTGTGACAAAAACTAAATTCCTGGGCTTCCAAGGTTCTTTCCCAGTATGACATTATGAAAGGATGAGAAAGGAAGGAGACTGCCTAGAATGATAGATGAACCCAGTATAGTTGCATAGAGCTTTTGTACCCGAGAACCAGCAATCTTATTTTTCCCTCCACTCTTTCCAGTTTAACAGTGCCAGCATGGCAGACCTGGAAATCGAACTCTGGGCTCCTGAGTCTGCCTAAAAAGGCACTTTAATCTGATGAGCTATTTGGCCAGCCCATCACTAATAATAAGATTTATTGATAAGGCCCCTCCTAGGGTTTGGCCTGGCACTGTCTCCCCTCAGTATCCTCAACTTCTAGATACAGACATCCCACCCCCACTCCTACTCCAAATTTGGCAGTATGGTTATGGTAGGGGGGGCACTAGTGCTGACCAAGAATGGGCTAGGTACAGAGTCCTGGATTTCTGTAACTGGCCTGATGAGTCATTTGACAAAATGAACATTATGCTTGCTGTTCAGCAGTATATTCAACAGAACATAAGGTAAAAGTGCTCCAATATTGACGAAAGTTTTGAACCACCTGAAAGCCAAGCTGAAGAACTGAACTAAATGTACTTGCTGTCAAACTCGAGAGTGAATCCCATCCAGATATTTGTACTGAAGGATGGATTTTCCTTGTGCAACTCATAAAACTCCAAGTGTGTCCACTATAAACTATACTACACACATATTTTATGGTACTTTATGTCTTCTGAATAACAACAAATATTTTTCCAGCAGGGTAGCATAAAGAATTATCTATAACAAAACTGAGATCTGTATGTTACAGGATTTACAGAATATTTCCACACCATATTTTTGTCACCAGAAAATATGTAATGAATATGAAAATGAAGTATTTTATGTCATTGTTTTATGACAACTTTATGTTTAAATATAATTTTCTGTTCAAGCATAACCTGACTATACCAATTTTAGAAGGAGAAGTTCAGAATTCAGTTTCTGGAGAAAGTGAAACATAAGAGGGAAAATCACAGAAAAATATACTGCTCACATAATTAACATTAATTATGTACTATATATATATATAATTTTAAATACATCAATCATGTATCCATATTACAGATTCTTTGGTCACATTTTTTATGCTGTGTGTTGCCTTTTAAAATGGAAAATACTTGGACTAGGGAGATAGCTCAGCACTCTAAGCACCTGCCTGGCAAGTGCAAGGACTAGTTCGATTACTGATACCTCACACCATGCTGTAGTACACGCCTGTAATCCCAGCACTGGGGAGGCTGAGACAGGAGGATCACTACAAGTCTGAGCTGTGCAGTGAGACTCTGTATCAATAAATAACTGAAAAATTTAAAAATGGAAAATACTTAAATTATTCATAAACTACATATTCACTTGTATTCATAGTTTTTAAGTGAGATTAGCATTATCTGTTTATAATGCCTTTTAATAAAAGAATTTACCATTTAGTAAAAAATATAAGAAAGATTCATTGACAGTACTGGATTGAACCAGGTTCCTTCTCAATACCATATCTTTGAGCTGAGCAATTGTCCTCAGGTACCAGCAAGGATAGCAATGGCAGCCAATCACACTCCTTGACACTGCCTTGGGCCCTTCCTCTCCCCAGGAGTTTAAGAAACTCACTGATTACTTCATTCATATTCACCTAGGGGTGGCCTGACATTAGGCTAAATGCCTAAAGGGAAAGGAGAAGTTGATTGGAGACTTCAACTTTCTTAAAAGTGGAAACCCCCTATGTGTCATTTTCCATCTCCTGTACCAACATCACCACCCTATGTACACACACACACACACACACACACACACACACACACAAATGCCAAGGAGAACTGAATAGAATGTGAAGCTGCTAGCACAGCAGCTGAATGCACTACTAAAACTGGGGGCAACAGGAGTCCAACTTGAGGGTGAGAGATTTCACAGGATGTGGTAGCTGAGGAAGTAGGTAGAAAAAGGAGCTGAGAGAGACTGGTAAGGTTGAAACCCTGGGGGGGAGAGAAGGGTAGGAAATGAAAGAAAAAACATTATATTTCTGTTCCAGCTTTTACTGCAAATCAGGAGAATTGAATATTGAAGAGGAAAGCATGTACCCAAGGTTACCATGAGGAATATGGGATACTAAAGATTTTTCTAAAAAAGTGAAGAAGTTTCAAGGGCCTGGTGTAGTGGTACAAGCCCACAATCTAGCAATTTAACAATTTAGTGAGACTGTTTCAAAATATAAAGGAATAGAAATGCAGCTCAGTGAAGATCCTCGGTTCAGTATCAAGTACCACACAAAAAAAGAACCATCTGCCAAGCTCAGTAGAGGGATGAAACTGGACGTGTAATCACCTCTCTATATATTGCACTCACCCTCCATCTAAGCTCACTGCAGTAAAGAAATTCTTGCATTCTGAATGGCAATCCTTTTTTAGAGAACATAGTACAATACCCAAGAGAAGACAGCAGAAGTGAACTGAGTGTGCAACAATCCTGAATCCCAGGGATACTTTAGATGAAGAAATCCCCCACCCAGTCTATTGCATAGTAGCAGTTGAAAGTTCACCATCACAAAAGCGTTTTGTGGGCTGCTTTTCATGTTCATCAGTGTTGGGAAGTCCCTTCTTACACCTAAATTAGATCTTCTAGGCTTTACTCAGCACATTTGTTCATGATTGATCCTTAGCAAAGGAATACACCAAGCTGCTTTTCTCCATTCACAGAAGAGAAATGAGTCAGAGAGAGATGAAGACAAACATCAAGTTGAGGCTTCACACTCTGAGACCTTCTCACATTCACACTTTTCATTTCCATGGGCCAGCAGGCAAACACTTGACTAGCTGTGCCCCTTCTACAAATAAGGTAATAAGATGAAAAATGCACTGTTGGCTCCCCCTGGGAAAGAGGCACATTGTGGCAGAGACTGCAAAATTAATCAATAGGGAAATCTTGCTCTCAATTATCCTGTCTTCTACTAATATATTTCAAGCAAAAAAAAAAAGTTTGAGTGAAAGGCAAAAATGAAGCATCTACCATGAGCATTAGGTGGGGGCATTTTAATAGCTAACCACCTGTGACCTTCACAAGAATTTTTAGAGAATGAGGACATTAAGATTCTGAGGAATTAAGTGACTTATGCAAAAGTTACATGGTTTGTTAATAGTGAAAACCAAAACAAGAAATTCTTTTTGACACAGTATTCCCCTTCTAGGTATCCTCCCAAAAGAGTGAAAGGCAACATGTTACTCTGATATGTGAATACCATGTTTATAGCCACACAATTCATAATCGCTAAATCTTGGAGGCAGCTCATATGTCCACTAAGTGAGAAATAGGTAAAGAAATTGTAGTGTTCACATTAAATGGAATACTACTCTGCCATAAAGAAAGATAAACTGAAGTCATTTGTAGGAAAATATATGTAATTTAAGACCATAATGTTAAGTGAAATAAATCCAAAAACACCAGTTTAAATATTACATGGTTTCTCTCATATGAGAAACCCAAAATATAAATAAAGAGTAAAATGAAACATAGATCATAGGTAGTAGGGAGAGAGATCTTTTGCAGAAGGGAAGGGGACTAGGAAATGGAGGGAGAGAGGATGAAAGAAGGAGATGAAATAAAGAATTAAGATGTGTTATGTACATATACTAACTCCCCACAAGGAACATAATCATTATGTACTACAGACATGTAACAGTGAAAATAGAGTATTATGTAGGAAAAAAAAATCAAACTATAAGGGTAGAAGCTGGCAGAGCTTGACTTTCAGTTGAGACACCTGGCTCCAGGAACCACAGTCTTTTAAAAATTATTTTAAATGCTGTAATCCCAG